TTAACCAAATCAAATTTTCAGGTACAGTTCCTATGCTGGTATATGAGTTTTTCTCAGGGAAATAACAATGTTAACTTGGCTTTTCCACTCCATAGTTGTTAGAGGGCTAGAGGACATCCATTTTTGGGCAATTATTTTCTGTGCTATATGAATCTCATTATAGGATCTACTGCCTCATCAGTTGGCAGAGAATAATCAAAGATATTCAGAAGATACATTTTAGGGTCTAGGGATAGAGTAGTTTGATATATGTAGGATATGAGAGACACAACCTCTTGCCAATACCTATGAAGTTTTGGGCAGCGCCATATGATATGTCTAAATTCTGCAGGGCCTCTGACACATCTAGGTCAGACGTCTGTATCTCTACACCTCCACCTATACAGTTTAGCAGGGTTATGGTAAACTTTATGAAGAGTAAACAATTGAGTGAGCCTCTGAGTTGGTGACAAGGACACTAGGGGAAGAGAAGTCATTGTAGGCTCCCATAGGCCTCCCATTAAGGGACCCAAATCTTTCTCCCAGCTCTTCCTAGAAAGGAGTAGAGTACAGTTTTGTATCTGTCATTAAAATCCTAAATAAACGAGAAGTAAGCCTTTTTTCTGGAGTCAGCTTTAGCTAGTAGTCCAAGGATTTGATTTTTATATTTGGTTAATTGAAATGTATGGGCCTGAACAGTTATATCATATTGCAACTGTAAGTAATGGAAAAATCTGAGTCGGGAAATTACATTTTGCCTGAAGCTACTGAAAAGTTTTCAATGCACTACCCTCATACAGTTGGATCAAATATCTCACTCCCCTGTCCTGCCAAAGTCCAAAGCCTTGCAATGTTTAAATTTTTCTGGTAGAAACAGAATTATTCAATATAGGCGGATATAACCGTTATATCCGTCCTGCTTCATCAGCCCCCTCACCTGCAGCTATAGCTGATGAAAGAGCAGCAATGTGGGGTGTTGCTGATGTATAGGAAAAGTACCAGTTCCTCAAGTTAGGAAAGCAATGGGTATTCAGAATTATGAGATAGTGAAATTGCCTGAATAAGATCCTTCAGGTCCCTCTCACCTCAGTTTAGAAAACGTCTGAGCTGGGCAGTGAGAAAAATACATTTTAAGATGAGGTATGGCTACACCACAAGTATCTTTTGTGAGTTGGAGATTGGATAGTTTTAATACAAGAACTCTTCCTTTTCCAAACACGCTCACAAAATAAAGAATCCATTTGCCTCCACCACTGCGGCAGCCAAACTGGGGAGTTGTGAAAGATATACAGTAATTGGGGCATCCAAATCATTTTAATGAGACTGGAGTGACCAACCACCGTTAAGGGGAGGTTGCACCAAACTCTTAAGTTTCTGCTTAAATTTGACCAGTAACAGGGACAGATTGAATCCCAGATACTTATCATTGAGTGAGCAGCTACTCCCAGGTGTTTACAGGATTTTCTAATCTTAGAGGCAATGAGAGGCAGGTCTCTTGTTAGTGGACCTAAGGGTAACAGGACCGACTTATCCCAATATATTCTGAATCTGGAAAAATTTCCAAAGGATGATATCAGATCCATCAATGGGATTAGCAACTGTTGGTTGTACCCCTCTTGAAGCAAATGATGTTCACTCTCTAATTTTAATAAATAACACACTGTGTGCCTGATATTTTTCACAGCAGCTTTTAAAGTACAAGTACTGTGTATTGTCACATAGCATACATTTTGAGGTATCATTGTTGTGTTGATCTTTTGGATGCAAATTTGGAATACTTGTCCAATGAATAGTGAAAGAGAGCTGATTTGGTGAGTACACAGCAAATCTAACTGTCAACTAGTCTTCAATGATGGGATGAATTTTCTTACATGTATTTAGTTTCAAAAGCAGCAAATGATTGGTAAGTCGATGATTCACTGCTTTATGAATATGCCCCATAGTTTTGATCGTTAGTCAAAGCCTTGAAAAATTTGTATATGAAATACAATTAAGGCACGGAACAGCAAGCAAGTAAAAACTAAATGTCATGCAAAGGTTTCTTTCAACATAGTACCCTAAAGTGCCATTACTGAAACCGCACTAGAGATTCCTTCTAACAGCAATGAAATAATGAATACAATGGAGCTCAAAAGAAACAGCCTATTTTCCACTCGCTGCAACTTAATCAGACTAATAAATCTTGTTTGTGCAATAAGAATCAAAGTACTGCTATCTGTCAAGGGGAGAGGATGGGACGCTGTGGTCAGCGTATGCCCCCTTTCCGACACAGAGGGGTCACTGGCCCCTGGTAAAGCGGGCTCCGGCCTCTGTACCCTTTTGACGTAATGGAGGATGGATCTGTGTCACGCTTCCCGCCCTGGAGGTGCTGGAGGAAAATTCACATTGCTATCACACAGAGCTGGACTGACAGAGAAACAGACCCGGGGCTGAGCCGTAACACAGAACACTGACAGGCAGCAGAAGATGTGACGGACAGGGAGCAGACTGCGGGTCAGAGACTGAATGAGACACAGAGACACACAAATCTTGATAGACATACATAGACCTCCCTGGCTATGCACTGTGAACTCAAGATGGAAAGCTACTGCCTGCTCACACCAGTAAAAAAAAAAAAAAAAATGTGTATGCACAGAGACTTTTCTATCATTGAAGATACATTTTCACAGAGGAAAAAAAAATCCATTGTCTGAGTATTTAACAAAGCACCAATGCAGTTTACAAACATTTACTAGAGGTGGCTGCAAAATGTAAATTTAAATCATATTAAAAAGTATAAAAAAAAATACACACACATTTTTTAATATCTACTGTAAAAATATATATTTAAATTACACCAAAATGCAATATTTTTAACTTGTAAGCTGTTTCGTGGAAAACAATTATAACCCAGTTTTTACAATTTTGTTTAAATGCTTTTCCTCTCTTTTTCACATTTATTCAACTTGTTACTTTTAGCTTACGACTTTGCATCCTCCAGCAGAGAGTATCATTTCCATCAGACACATCACCAAGCTGCTTTCTGGAATCAACAGGATCGGATGCAGAGGTAACAGATTTGGATCCCCGGGAAGTGGAAATCAATATTAAACTTATAATAACAAGACAGGTTCAAAGAGCACCAACAAACTAGAAAAGTAAAAATTTAAACAATGCAGAAGTTGCGTATTCTGAACAAATTAGAGAAAAATTCCAGGTATGGATATTTTTACATAGTTACATGGGTCCAGCTTGGACCCATGTAACTATGCATATACCATACGTGTAGGATCCCTCTAGAAGGTGGAAATGACTGAAATAGACATCGCTATGAATGCAAAGTGTTCTCTGATTGGACATGGTAGAGAGGCTGGGTGGTAACGTCACGCTCTCCACCACATACAAATGCTTTGCATTCATGAAGAAAATGCAAAGCATTCTTTGAGTGGCACCTGTGCTGAGTGAGTGACCTTCTGGGTTCACAATGTAGCAGGACAGCCACTGGGCATCGGGTCCGGAAGATAGTGATCACTGAAGTAAGCAGTGTCTTCTACAGCGATTTCCAGCTTCTAGAGCACATCTGTCAAAAACAAGGCCCCCAGGGTGAATCCAGCCCACCAGGCCATTTCATGTGGCCCTCATATCTCTCTTGCAGCTGTGGCACCCCCATCGTCTCCGCGCCACCTTGTCTCAACAGTGAGCAGCAAAGAAGATGACAGATCTCCTGCTACAGATCCTGCACCTCTCTGTGCAGCGACAGCACCACCTCATCTCCACCTTCCCTGGTCTCAGCATTCAGCAGACTCCAACAGCTGACTCTAAACCTCCTCTGGTCCTACTTAAGACCCCGAACTTTCTGTTTTCCAGATCCACCCCAGCAGCACAAGGTAAAAGGGGTGCACTGTGATGCAAGGGAGGGTGGGGGACTCTTGACTTCTGATGGTGGGGGGGGGGGGGGGATTTGACATCAGATGTAAGGGGGGGTACTCTGGACATCTATAGTTAAAGATACAACTGCTCCTTTTGAGAGAGACCATAATTCTGATCCCAATTGAGTTTGATACCCCTGTTCTAGGGGGATCCCATATGAATCTTATATGCATAGTTACAAATGACCCAAGCTGGACCAATGTAACTATGTACAAATTGCCATACCTGGATATCTTCTTTAAACCTGTTGGGTTATCATATGGACAGTGATACAAACATTTAGAAGCAAGGCACAGAAAATAAAAGACAGAAAAAGAAGTAAGAAGAAAAGTAGGATGGAATGGAAGAAAGTGTGAGAAAGAGAAGGGGAATGGAAGGAGAGGTGTGAAGTAAGGAAAAAAAAGAGGTATGGAAGAAGACACAAAAAAGAAGAAAGGAAATGGGACAGAAGGCAGCTAAAAGGAAAAAAGAAGGAAGAAAAGAGATGCATTTTTTTTTTAAACAAAAATTAATTGTAAAACGATTTAAACATAAAAAAGTAGGTAATTCACATAGGCCCACAAAACATTTTAAAGACAATCTCTTGCTCAAACTGAACATGGTAAAGTAGCCACTGTAGAGGTAAATATAGATATATAATCCAAGAAAGTGGTCATCTATACTATATAGATGAAAACTCCACTTTAATTAGCAGGGTAAAATGGAGCAGAGGTTATTACAGGGATAACTTTGTCTGTAACTGGCAGAAGAGCGTTTGGGAAAGAGGAGGAAGCAATGTGAATGAGAACATCATAACTAAAACTATGCAGAACAATGAAAGTTTTGGACAGCAATGAGGTGAAAGGCTGAAAACTTCTAAAAAATGCGGTGAAAGTTCAGGAACTTTTAAGCGATGAAACACCTGCATGGTGCTCCTCCCAGCATACAATGATTGGCACCCACAAAGAGTATGAAAGTTTGATATGTGAGGGAAAGAAGGGGCTAAAAGTCCATATATATATATATATATATATATGCCGTCTACATATATATAATTCTTCATTTCTGTTCATATATAGATACTGTCAAACCAGAATTCCATACAGTGAATATTGTAACATAGGGCAACTCACGGTAAATTTACGTTGCAGACAGATGGGCTGCGAGAAATCGCACCTCGAGTTTGCTTTACAAAACTGCACATGCAAGAAAAGAAAAAGTGAGAAATAAAATATATCAAACCATAAAGGACATGAGGACAACAGAAGGGGATCAACATTTTACTCCGGGTGTGCATTCTGGGGTGGAAAGTTGAGGAGTTGTGGAGTAAAACATTGAACCTCTCCCACCGTATGAAAATAAAAAAAAAAAAAATTAAAAAAGGGGAGGGATACCAGGGCAGTTTGGGCTACCAGGGCAGTTTGGGCTGCACAAGGAGGACAATGACACCAAGGATGAGGAAAGGATAAGGGGACTGCGGGGTAAATAAGAAAAGACTGAGGATTTGAGTATGTGAAGAAGATAGAGAAAAGACTATAAATGTGTGGAAGAATGGGGTACACTAGACAGTGCAGCTAGCGATGGGCAAAGTGTAGTAAACCTTACAGCAAAACAGAATTTGCCTTTTGTGGATCTAACGTATGAAAGCTGAAATCTGATTAGCTGGTCTGTGTAACTGCACAATCCTGCTTTTTTTTTCCAATATCCCCATCTAAATGAAAACACTAAACACTACATAATTTACATTCTTTATAATCCCACTCTCTGTGTCTCCCCCATCGTTTTTTCTATATCCCCATCTCTACAAACATAATGTTAGTATCAATCATATGGATTAAAGCCCCACACTAGCCATAACTTTCTGTTATGTTTTTTATGGTACCATCTGGGAAACCTCCATTCACTTTCTTTAGGCCTCATACACAATAGATGTTTCTAACACTGTTCCTAGAGGAGTCTGGAGGGTTGTTTTTTTTTTTTTTTTCGGCCTCTAAATGCTCCTGCATGTTAGCCTATGTACCCATGCACACACAGGCGTTTAAAGGTATAAAAAAAAATAACTACCAGTGCATCCAGAAACAGCTGCGTTTAGGTATAAAAAAAACTTGACACCTATAAATGTGTGTATATGCGTGTAAACACACGTTTAGGCGCATTTAACACTTCAGTGCTAAATAATTTCAATGGCCAGGATAATTTATTATTCTGCCCACTGAAATTAACGCTCAAGCACTTGACGCTTTACATGCGTCAAACTTTTTTCTGCCAAAGTACCGCTGCCAGGAGGAAAGGCATTTAGGAGAGCTAGCAAAACGTACAGTGTGCATGAGGCCTAAGGCAAAGATGAGAGCATAGAAATTAAATTAGGTTCTAACAATTCATCACTGTACTAAAAATGTAACACGTTTTGGATGGAGTTGGGTTTATCTTTACTATGCCAGTTTTGCCTTTATTTTTTCCATCCCTAATGAACCTTCCTATATAAGCTTGCTAACCCTAGGTTCACATCTGTGCGGGTGGTGCTGCTGCGGATCCGCATGAAAATCAGTGCAGCCGCACCACCCGCACAGAGTAATGCAGACCCGCGGGCGGGTGCCATTAGTTCTAATGGCACGCCGCCCGCACTGGAAAACGCAACCGTACTGGGAACCGAGGTTCCCGTGCGGGCTGCGTTTTCAAAAGAAGTGAAGGGACTTCTTCCCTGCGTGTCACGGGCACGGGAGTCCATTCAAATGAATGGGCTCTCGTGCCCGTGCAAAACGCGGCCAACACGGCCGCATATATGTGAACCGGGAGTCATAGTAAAATTTATTCAAATTCTTTAATACCCCACTATGTATAGTCCACTTCATAGTGGATTTTAAGTGGCAGGAACTTAACCCCTGCTTTGCAGGATAGTTTGACTCTATCACAGCCCATCATTAAAAAGTATCTAAATCCAAGAACAAAAATGTCATATATTGCAGTTTACCAGGCCATAGATGTGTTGGCTGCAAAAGATTTTTTAAATGCACTTTTTTAACTTTACTTTGGCCTGGTAAATCTTTCAGTAACCCACGTCTTGTAATAGGATGATAACACTCAAGGTGTTAGGCACTTTACCCAACACCTTGCCCTTGCCTCATCTTCATAATATAAGGGGAGGTGTCCTGTAGTTCACATAGGAAATCTGGGAAGGCTGGTAACATAGTTTGAGAATTCAGTTCAGTGCAAAAAAGTTCAAGGACACTGGATTCCTCTGTGGATCAACAGCTATTTTTCTGTACTTGCAGAATGTTTTTGCATTGAAAACTAATATAGCCAGCAAGTCTAAGAACTGGTAAAATTCAATATATTACATTTTTGTTCTCGGGTTTAGATATGCTTTAATCCTTCAAGTGGAAATGATATCCCAACTCAACAAAACAGGCCTGATTTTTTATTTCAGTAGTTGAAACAGACCATTTATTTTAGGATTCCCCAGGCTTTAACAGCTCGTCCTAAAATACAGTTGCTATATAAGTCACTAGCAATATAAAAATTGAGTCACAAGTTACTGGTTGAGGAACACTGGCAGGAATCTATGGGGCATGCTGGGAAGTATGATGAACAGTACAAGGACCACAGTAGGAGCAGAAAAAACAGAAAAGAAAGTATACAAACCAGAAAAGAACAAAAGGCAAATCATAGAAAGTGTCAGTTCTTCAGGCCAACAGCCTGTCTGTATCACTTCTGTGGTGTGCCTTGCGGTGATGTTCTGTTTCTGGTCTAGACAGAAACTCTTGAGGCCATTTTTTTCCCAAATCCAGCAGTATTTTGGGCCATGAATATAAAATGTCTACATAATCCCTTACTCCTAATTCCCTCTATTAAAGGAAACCTGTCATGAGAAAATTATAAACGCTGTGTTTGCCAGCCTCTTCTCCTTAAGCCCAATTCTTGGCCAAAACTTTTTTTATATACAGGGGAATAAAACCTCTATTTTTTATTGCTCTTTATGTGCCTGTTGGGGAGTTTTACCCTCACTATCTGTTCCAGTGACAAGGGATCACATGGGAAGTAAGTGATGGGTTATCTCTGGTGACGTCAGCTCCGGCAACAAACAACATGTAGAGTAACAAAGAGTTAGAATACCCTTTATGTTTTTTTGTTCTAAGTGGTGACAACTGCATCCTCTTGTCCCATGTCACCATGAGAACACAATAAAATCTTCAGAGGCTGCAATTCTTACTCATGCAGTTGAATATTAAAAAAAATTTTGGCTGAAGTTGGGCTTCACAATTCACAATGTCATCATAATGCTTTGGCTTCAATAAGTTCACCTCTCACTCACCTGGAACAGGTGACTAAAAATAATGAAATTAGACACAGCCAGTCAACAAGCATTTTCAGAGATACCAACAATAGCATCCCTCATGACAGATATTGTTTAATACCTCCCCCTAAAATCAGGATTTACACAGCTGAAAAGCCTCTGGCAATAGAATGGTTAAGTGGAGTTTATAACCAATGTTAATATATCGATTAATAAAAGCATGAAAGAAGTGAGTCATTGTTGGCTGCCCCTACCACTGGAATCATCTGCAATGTCTGTGCTAGGAAGTAATTTGTCACCTGATAACTTGTTAGGTCCCTTGACATTGAGTAAAGATCCTCTTTATCACTTTGACTCATCCTCATAAATCGTGTTTGTTTGGCCAGTGTTTAGGTGAGGAAATCACTTTTCCAGCAGCTCACAGACAAGTAAGATATATATATATATATATATATATATATATATATATATATATTTTATTTATTTTTTTTTTAAATGCAGTATTACAAAAATAATCTGTTGCCTTAAGAATGACAATATGATTTTATATTTTGGAGGTTGGTGGGATTAGTTAGCTGATGACTGATCAAATAGGACTAAAAATAGTTTGAACTAATCAGAAGTCCATGCTAATTCTAGAGCTTCGCACTGATGATAAATTATTTTTAAGTAAAGTAATTTGAAGGTCTTGTTACAGCATCTATGTCCTTAAATGGGCCATATGCCTATGTGGTGTGCTGTATACTGTATGTTCTCAGAAACCTGTTTAAAAACATTATAACAAAATGCAGTGGCCTAATAGCAGGTATTCAAAGGTGAGACCTGACAGAGGGGCCATGAACAACAAAGGTTAGGTGCCTAACATTCCCTTCAATGAAATCTGGCTCTTTGTGGGCCCCTTACAGTTTCACTCTTTTTCCATGTATTTAATGCCAGTGTTATCAAAAAGGGAAAAATACTAAGTAATTATAAGGTTAACTAGACCACAATGATTCATACATGGCAGGGAATCCTATCCAATGTCAAAAATTTAATTAGGGATTTCCTATTGATTTTCTCACCCTTGGAGGATCACTTTACCAGTGCACTTCTGGAGGAAGGAAAAAGGATTTGTTTTCCTTTTTTTTAAGTTTTAGAGTGTAGGGAATGGTTAGGACCCCAGTTAGATTTTTTTTGTTTGTGTCCCAGTGGTGAGAATGGTACAGTGCCTTGAAAAAGTATTCCTACACCTTGAAATTTTCCACTTTTCAGATATTTATTTGTAAAAACATTTGAAAACCATGTATCACTTTCCTTCCACGTCACAATGGTCTATCATATAAAATCCCAATAAAATACATTTACGTTTTTGGTTGTAACATGATAAAATGTGAAAACTTTCAAGGGGTATGAATACTTTTTCAAGGCCCTATATTTACATCCTGTTCCAGGAACACAACAAAAATCTGTTCAAAATGCGCGCTAGGGTTCACACTAGTACAGTTGCGATTAGATTCAATTTTCAGTATGATTGCAAAGTGCGAATTTGTTGCGTTTTGACACATATTTTTGGTACTACTATGTTTTTTGGTAGGAGAAGGAGACTGGATGCTGGTTGTTAAAAAGCTGACATCCACCAGCAACCTAACAACAAATGACTCCTCTCTGCTGATAGCAAAATGTAACAAATGAGTGTGGGGGTCCTCCCATAGTCTATACCAGGCACTTTGGGTATGCCATGGATTTCAAGTGGGACTCAACATCAAAAATACAAAAAAAATGTCATCCCCCCCCATACCATACCAGGCCCTTTGGATCTGGTTGGGATTTTAAGGGGGATCCCATACCAAATAAAAAATATCAAAAAATAGCGTGCGCTTCTTAACAACTTGCAAAAATGCGCCAAAAACACATGTACATGTGATTTACATGCAGT